TTGTAGCTAAACTTTGGTTCTTTCGGACACGTTCTGCCTCCTTTTCCTCTTGCTCATTGACTCTGTTTCGCTTGAATGATAGGGCACTCATCACGCATAATTGGGCATTTCAAACATCTTCGGATTGCGAATATAAAATGGTCAACATCTGGATGAACTTTGACGAATTTTATCACATCGAACACTTTGCGCACGCGACCGGTTAACAGCATCCATGCGTCGATGTAGGGATCGGGTTTGCTGAAGAAATCTTTTTCTCTGCGTTTAGCAGCGTCATGTCTTGCACAGAACGCCAACGTGGGCTGCTGAGGTAGTTGTTCTGCAGGAAATCTAATAAAAACATTAACATTTAAGATGTTGTTCACTGTTATTTTGGCAGGGCAAACAAAGCAGTCTGACTATAGCGAGATCGTGGGCAGAAAAACTAAGATTGACCTAAATGCGTGAATGTTGCAGTGAGAAAATAGTGAGGCTATTTGAAGACATCTGTAGAAAATGGGGCTAGGTACAATAGAACATGTGGCCTTTTTTGTTTAAAAAAAGAGAAGCAAGCGCGTGCTTTTAAAGAACGTTTAGTTATTTAAAATCCTTGCTAAAAGTCAAATAAAATTTACATAAAAAATTTGAAGTAACGTGAACACGTATGCAAGATTCCTGCTTACCGCCATCTAATGTGCTCGTATACTTTGTACATGTACTTGTTGTCATTCATAACCCAACCCGTCTGTGTCGAAATTATTTGGAAAACATCTTCAGGAGATGAATCTTGTTCTTCCTCCTCCTCTTCTTCTGCTTGTGTCTTTTGATATTGCTGGGACGGCTCTGCCTCGTCATGTGTTGGAGGCTTACATGATTTCAAATGACAGCGATTATTCTCCTCGTCCGACAACTCTGATGAAGATGATGGCAACCGGAAGCTTCGGCGGAGGTCTCTCAGCACTGCAATTTGTTCATGCTCTTCATCTCGTACAAAAGAACGATGGACTGCGCAGGAGTCTGCTGGGCTCGACCTCGACACGTTTGGTTCTACTTCCATTTCTCTCAGATCTTGATAACCGATGTTTTTTACAATCTTTGAGTCGAAAAGGGATCTAATAATGAAGGGAAATGTTTTTATAATTAATCAGATTACTCTATCATCTAGTTAACCGTGACGCATATGGGAAGCACCATAGTTTGTTTTTGAACGGAGCAATGCAGCGAATAATGTTAAGTGCTTACCGTGCTATGTTGTTATCATCTATGACCGCTGCTTCGCCGTCGCTGTTCTCGTACCAGCGTTCCTGGCGTGGTACATGATCGATGTTGGCCGTTATCTGGTTTGCGGTCCAAACCAAGCAGTCCATTGCGTGTTCATAGATCCATTTGTCGATTCCTGCGGTTGTCCTCGGCAACGATTGAGTTTCGTAAACAGAAATTCGTCGTTCGACGTTTTCCATTTCTTTCCCGAAGTCGGGAACAGTGTTCGTCGTTATATAGAACGGACTATTGTTCCAGACGCACTTAGGCTGTTCATGTTTGACGGCCGAGACCAACCATCCACCCTGCAGAAGCGTTTTAGCTAGGTCGGATTGCATCGTGTACGAAGACCAGTCGTCGATTACAACAAGTTCCGTCGAGTCATTTATCATCGACGCCGAGAATTGCTTCTCGCTCGTTATGGAGGCAACTCGTTCGGAGGGAACGATTCTGTGCAGAACGCACGCCCATGACGTTTTCCCCGAGTCCTTCGGTCCTGACACAACTAATTTTCGAATTTTTTGAGGCATGCGACGACCAACAAAACATTGATAGAATTTATTGAGAAACGCGGTCCGTACGTCCAGATCTGGAAACGAATTGACTATGCCGTTCTTAAAATACAGCGGCTGTGGTGGCGTTGTGCTGTCGTATGGAATATACGTACGAGGCGAAATTTTCCCCAAAGGCATCCGTGGTGGGCATTCCGTAAACGAGCGCGCCGAGATTTGAAAAAACTGTCCGCCACTAACTTCGATGTAATCGGGATCGAATTCGATTTGGCTGATGATTTCGCAACCGGGATGCGATAGCAGTTGTACGATGCGAGACATGTGCTTGATGATCTTCTCTCGTAACGCATCGTTTGTAAGTAATTTATTGACGTATGTTTTAACGTCCATCATTTTGACGTACGTCAACGTTGCTTCCATTGGTTTGCCGTACAGGAATCCACGATGGAGTGCATGATGGCACCGCATCATTACGAATTCAATCTCACGTATTGTGGCCGTTATGTCGCTCGGTGCCGTTATCAATTTGTTGCTTTGTGTTGGCCTCGAGATGATTTCTAACTCGCACTCCAACCCGTCTGAAGTTAGTGCAGCGTGAGCCTCACTGAGTGGTCCACCATAGGAATCTTGTTGAACGACAACAAGCCGACAAGGTATTTGGACGTTCGTATTTCGTCGATTGATGTTTTCGTCCTCGTCCTCTATTTCTCTTGCACGACATACCGAACGGCAAAAGATGTTGGATGCAATCACCATGTTTTTCGTTCCGGTGTTGTTGTGGTCTTTAACAACCTGAGCGATCTGGCACACTGCTGTTTCAACCTGTGTCAAACCTGTGGTATTGCGTGTCTTGATTTCGGTTATTGTTGGTTCCATATCGGCATCGTGAAGTGCGGCGAATATTGTCTCCTTCGTGCACTTTGATGTCTCGCGGAAAACAACGAAGTATGCCACACCTGGAAAAATTGTTGGACCACGACTGGCAGGCTCATCGTCCTCGTCGTCCTCGTCCGACTTTGGTCGCCTGGCGTTTGTTTGAACCATCGTTATGCACGATATGAAAAATTGGACCCCATCCATGGCAATAATTTGGTCGTCGAGTTGTAATCTCTTTGAACAAATCTGATTTTTTGCCAACTCCCTGTCTTCTTCTGACACTCTCCAGATGGCGCGACAAGCAAGACCATGTGTATCATGATTGAGCTGTTAAGGAAATGTGAGATAATTAGTTGAGAACATGCGAAACGGTCGCCAGAATAACAAATTGTTAATGCACTACAATGAACAGTTCTAGCTGCAGATAAACGCTTAGTAAGTGTTTGAACTACGTTATAATGGAATAGAAGACATCACAGTGTCGATAAACGTAGCGTGATTGTCAATTCTCGTTACTGATTGAACATGCCCATAATAATCAACATTCTTCAAACAATATTTGCTTGAACTTACCCATTTCAACAGGTTTACACGTAGCGAGTTTCGCAAACGCTTGCTGTCCAGTTGTTTCTTCGGTCGTGTGGAAAACATTGTAGATTACGTTAGTTTTTTCTTTGTAAATTCGTTGGGAACCAGAGCAGGAAAGCGACAAGCAACTGCAATGCGATGTCTTTTATACGATTTATTATTCAATATACACATATAATTAGTACTCCTGCGTAAAAAGCGAACAAAAAATATTCTACTTTGGTTATTATTATTATTATTATTATTATTATTATTATTATTATTATTATTATTATTATTATTATTATTATTATTATTATTATTATTATTATTATTATTATTATTATACAGGTCTGTATTATTAGGTCTGTATAAATTAATAAAATGACCGTGAAGGAGTTTGTATATCTGTTATAAAATCATGCAGATTTATATAAACTTTAATTTCAATATTTCTCACCAAATATCATTAATTACTCCGGGTACTGTAAGTAGGAGTATTAAAATGTCAGATCTTTTTTCTTAGGCGACACAAGTGTGCACTTCCACAGATGCAGCGTACGCAGCGCACGCAACGCACTACAAAAATACGAAATATCTAAAAATAGCCGCCATTCGTAGTCAGGTCGGAGCGAGCGTTGTGTTTACAATGTATTTAGTTCTATTTACAGTAAATATTATCAAATGAAGGGTTCTGATACACTCGTTTTTATACAGTGACCACAGTTCATATAAATACAAATCGAAATTCGAGACTTTATCGCGTGTTTAGTAGCGCTTGCCGTTATTGCAAAGCTAGTTTTGATCGACAAATGGCTTGGTTCGTCACTGACGTTAGCCTGTATTTTTTAATTGTGTCAACACTATACGTAGTTAAATTGTATTAACACTCGTCTTCTTTAAGTCTCCCTTTGTGCCTCGTGGCCAAAATTGAAGTACAAACAACGCACAAATCTATTCAACATTTAGACATATGACATATCTGAAAGTCTTCGATTCGCAAGGCAATTTATATCGCAAACCACAACAATATTGGCAATATGTCTACCACGCTTGAATTAGACAAAAGCGCATATAAAATATATTTAACTAGATAGCTTTACCCAACACTATTACGTCTATTACACAGTTTAATGTTTTACTTATAGAGTATTAAAAATCGGTCTCGACGGCTGCAATGTCTTGGTCTTAAAGTAAAATCATTACCAGAGCTTCCACTCGGAAGGAAATTTCCTTCCAAAAGGATATTTTCGCATTTGGAAGGAAAAATAAAAGGAAATAAGATTTGGAAGGAAATTGGAAGAAAATTCGGCCATTTTGAAGGAAAAGGGAAGGAAATTTGACAATTTAAACTTTTTCAGTAACTTCTAGTAATTTAATAATGGTTAAACACTTTATTATGAATTTTTGAGTTCAAAAACATTTATGACTTATAAAAACATTTAATACTTTGGATATTTACATAACCATCAAGGATGAATGGGGGTAATTTGGGACTTAACAGGTCTTCTGTGAATGAGTAGAGTACTTGTACATAAATTTTTCGCTGGTTTTTAATTTTTATAATCCAAAATTAAAAACAAACAGTCGGAAAAAGGGAAACTGTAATTTCTAAAATTCATATTTAGTCATTGAGTCGACATCTAGTCAGGCTCATCAAAAGATGAAGCTTCAAGGAGTTTTCAAATGCAAACGGAATAGAAAGCGTGCAGGAATAGTATCTGGTCCAAAAGCAAATTCATAAAAAAGTCGTTTATTAAGTACTATGTCGTTCGAGAAAACAGATAAAAAATGAGACAAGAACATGTTGTTTCAGGTTATATTAGAGTTTCACTATTTAAATACTGCAGTACACCTTCAATTTACATAGGAATAAAGTACAATACAAAATTTACTATACTATTTTAAACTGAGATTGGAAGGAAAAATGGAAGGAAATTTAGGATTTTGGGAAGGAAATTTTGCGAAAAAAAAGGACAAAAACGAGAAATTTTGCTTTGCCAAAGTGGAAGCACTGATCATTACTAAAATGCTTAAAACAATCTAAACGTTTGATAATAACAAACTTACAGCGAAGCCTTACAAATTAAAACAATCAATCTGTATAAACAAAATATCAACATAACACTAGTTAATTATGAGTTATGGTGCCAGTTATGAACTTACTACCATGCATTGAAAAAGTGTTGACAATTAACTTATATGACACGACTAACAATATATTACTTTTTAAATAATTTTCTTTGCGTGTTTGATAAATGTGGTTTGTTTACGTAATTCAGTTTCAGGAGTTTTTCTCGAGGGTCGAGGGCGGGAAGCGAGGGTCGAAAAATCATATATAAAACGTCGAGGGTCATATAAAAAAGTCGAGGGTCATCAGTAAAAAGTCCGGGGTCGTATTTCTAAAATATTTTATGGTTTTTATTGTCGAGGGTAGAAATTTGCGGGCATTCCCTATAGATAAATTTGCAAGTGGGGCAAGCACGATAGCGAAAACAATACTTTCAAGATGGCGTCGCGAACCCGGAAAAGGCGTATGGCAATGGCAAGGTGTAAACAAGTCCTGATTACTCTGATTCAATAGACCATATAGTGAATAGACAATACAATAATTTGCGACATGCAATCCGAGATAACGCAGATAATGCACCACGCCGTTTGAAACTATCTCGACTGTAGCTTTTGATCGGCATGTCTGTTTTCATGTAGTAATATTTTATCATATAAAAAGTAATCGCATATAAAAAAAATAATAATTGCATATAAAAATAAGAGCTAAAAATTAAAAGTAAACTAAATGAACACGAGCTAAAATTATTATTTTGTTAAATTATTAAAATGTATACCCTCAAGCTTTTCACCCTCGAATTTCTACCCTCGACAATAAAAAAACCCCATAAAATATTTGTAAAATACGGCCTCCGACTTATTATATACGACTCGATAAAACACTCCTACGCATGTTTTAAATAGAACTTTTAATAAAGAACTAGATAGCTTTTATTAGAGATAAAAGAGATATTTTTATGTTGTAAAATATTATGATCGTTGCATATGTTTTTAGTCACCTGGTGAAGTGGTTACACTGTAGTTCTCCCACTTTTCCAACTTTAATATGCTAAATATCATGCATTAAAGATACCTTCATTGCCGTATATAAGCATACGTTAAAGTAGCTTTGCGCTTAGTTAAGGCCCTGTACCCGGAGTGAACGCCTGAGTAGGCGTCTTGTTTATTTTAAATTGTTGAAAAATATACGATTATTCTCATCAACACTTTTCTCGTCCGTGCATGTTGTATCCGATACACAAACTCTCGCCTTCGGCTCGAGTTTGCATGCATATCGATATCCGATACAACACGGCCGCCGCTCATGTTGTAAATAGTACATATTGAATTAATGAACATTGACCTACATTGATCTATATAAAAACGTTTATTGTTGATGTAAAATATCGATTACCGACATTTCCATGCACAAGCGAAAAATCTAGTATGCATGCGCAAAATTATATAATTACGTAATTACGCTTTCAGACCCGCAAAAGCAAGACGGACCTTTGAACGCTTCTGAAGACAACTAATTTTATCAAAATTCAACCAAAACTTAATCCATTTTTTTCTTTCACATAATTACGCCATAATCACGGCTAATAGACTAATATCTTCACAACATTTTGTTTAACTCTTGAATTAATTAATACTACAGGCTACTGTAACAATATATTTACTTGCTACTAAAATATATAAAATTATACTTTGTATTCTAACCAGCAGAATTCAAACAGTGCAAAGTGATTTTAAAGTCATTTCCATGATATGAAATACATTCAGCTGGCATTTATTAAAACTTCAACTAGAAGTGTCTTTCGATTCTTAAATTTTATCGCAAAATGACATGGACCTTCGTAAAGAGACGAAGGTGTAACAGGATAAAAAAAAGAACCAACGTCTTTATAAATTGATTATATATAGCGTTGGCGATGGATGCAGAAAGAATTATTTCAACCATATAACTAACCTTATTCGTATGACGCATCTTTGTGGATGACCAGACGGGAAATGTGGAATGGCCCAATCGTAACGCAGTGGAACAACACCATCGGCATTTCCTAAATGGTTTGATCTTGTATATGGAGCTTTGGTGCATTCTGGTGAATCAAGTGCGACCAAACAACGTTTTAGTGATTCCAAATTATCACCAGTCATTTTCAATTTATCAATATCTTCAGAGCGGTAAGGAATGGCCCAAATAAGTCGACGTTGTCTAGAACTTGCAGCTTTACATGCTTGTTCCGTTTGATACTTGGGGATTTTTTCTAAATAGTTGCTGAATGAAACCCAAAAGCCATTATTATTTTCACAGTCCTCTTTATTGCTAAAAACCGAGACATGACGGAAACCGTCTGACTTTGAATCGTAGTATTGAAGACATTCCTCTGCAAACAAAGAAGTAAGACCTATTTTTAAGAACAATTAAAAAAAAACGCATTTTGTCTAAAAAAGTAGAAACGTCACTTGAAAAATCAGACCTCCATGCATATAAACTCAAATATTATCTGACTCCTACAAAAGGCTCTGTCACACTATTGCGTAAGAGAGAAACGTATGAGAAGCGTATCAAAATTAATGAAATAATTTTCATACGCACAAAAATCCTTTGAAATGCCAGCGTATATGCGTACCACACATCTGGCGCACCTCTAGGCCTTCTGAGCATGCTTAAAAAATATTTTCAGCCTCCCCGTATGCCAGCGTATTCCACCGTGCTTGAAACGTATATACAACCTTATGCCTAAGGTACTCCTAGCGTATATCGGCGTATATCGGCGTATCAAGTGATATTTTTCATACGCCAGATGCATACGCCGCAGTGGTGTAGGGGGGGGGGGGGGGTTAAAGCAACTGAGCCCTCCTTGTTAGAATTTTATGATGACTTGGGGAATGGCCTGATCCCATCCCTATATTTTTTGCACATTGCATAATCTTAACAACCAACGAGATAGTTCTTTATAATTGGATCTCGTTTTCAGTCATCATTTAACACGATAATGATTTTTGTAATCTTTACTTAATCGCATTGTTCATGCGCCGTAGCAAATTGGCTGTTGAAGTACCGATCGTGTGCCTAGAGTAAGTTTATCGTATAAAGCATACGTCCGATACGCACAAAATAGTTCTGCCTCGCCGTATGCCGTACTTGAAACGTTTACAACCTATGCCTAACGTAACCCTAGCGTATGTCAGCGTGTATCGGCGTATGAGTGATATTTTTCATACGCTGGCATACGCTAGTACGATACGCAATTGTGTGACAGGGCCTTAACATCTACAGAAGCCTTGGATTCCATATCCTTTTGTGACGCTCAAAATATTTTATATCACGGCAATTGTTTTTAATGAGAATAATTTTGAATGTTTGTCCCGCAATTACTAGAATAAACCCGAACCAAATTCAGAATTTCCAAAATAACATATTGTAGCCACCCGCCAATTCGTGACACTTTTTGAGAGCCCCCCTTGTTAACATTCCAGGACTACCATGGATATCTTATATACACTAGATAGTGCATCTTATTCTGCACTTCAAAAATTGAAGCCGTGATTGCAGTCTCAGGTCGCTCCCATGAAATGAGAAAATTCGTATGTTTTCTATTTCTTAAACAGGGAACTTAAACATTAAGTTAACACAGTGGTTAACCCTATTCCAAATACGTTTTTAAACTATTCAAATGATGAAAGTTATTGTTGTTTTTAAGCATTTATTAGCAAGTGGGAACGACCAACATGGCCGCCATCTATTCAAATGGGGGTAACCGCTGGAATATTCTTGGCTTCAATTTTACTAAAAGAGATGCGCTATCTAGTGTATATAAGATATCTATGAGGACTACACCACTGCCATACGCTAGTACGATGAGCAATAGTGTGACAGGGCCTTAAGATTTTATGAACGCATGTTTTGTTTTGTATTAATTGCATCAGTATACAAGTTTAACAATTTGGAAACTGTGTTGACAATGACGTACTTTTTAATGAAACAAAAAAAGTTTCTCACACAAATACTTTGCGAGCATTCTTTATGATACAGAAGAAAAATTACAATTACACACTGGTGCATATTGCAGGAATCGAAGTCTAGTCACAGACTTGAAGTGAAAATGTAATACACTAACAACTGTAGCCCCTGTGAACTTAATTTATTTAGACTTACCTTCTCAGGATTAATATAAAATAGTTTTAATATGAACAAACACAGCTGCCTCATTATTATAAATATCAAAGTCCATCATAATGTACGTCAAAGAGCCATCACAAAATGAAACAGTTTAGATCAGAATCACTTGCAACGTTTTGTCAAAGACTTTAGGTATCTTAATAGCTAATGAAGTAGCATATAAAATCACAAAGCTTTTGAATAACAAGATGTTGAATTACAGGGATAATCCAAGGATAAGAATAAAAGAAGAGGCAATGTATTAACTGCCTTGTCTACTGAGGAAAGGTTTGAATTTTGGAAATAAGACAGATTTCACGAATTATCTATTAGTCTAGGACCTGTATATGAGTTTGTATGCATTTCATTTAGGACAGATAATCTCAACTGTTTTAGGGTACTAAGTTGACCATGACGGTCAACATGGTAACGCTGCTAACTCCAATCCGGGGCGAAACGTCCAAAACTGACCACACCCAAAAACGACGCTTTCGCCATACTGCTATCTACCAAACCAAGCCATTTTCATTCCACTAATAATAAATTTAACCCTTTATAATAGGAGGAAACTAAAAAATCTAAACAAAATATAGGAAATACGCCATTTTATCACCATGTAAAATTTTGCTCACGAGTCTTTCAAAACATTCCGTACAAATATCGCGTGACAAAGTAACAGGGACGTGACAGGAGGGGGGTGAATTATTTCACGAAGATAGAAGAAGGCTGCGTGAAATAGACTAAAAGCTAAATACAATCATACAAATGTTTGTTTTATTTCTTGTAGCGACAAATATATACATATTATTATTTATTAATATGAAAAAGTCATACAAATTAAATGTTGATTGTTGGTTTTACCATAATATGTGGGCAGTCCTTTCATTTTTAAAGTCTCTACCCCCCTGTCACGTCCCTGTTGCTAAACCACACGAGATTTGTACGAAATGTTTCGAAGGACTCGTAAACAACATTTTACAGGGTGATAAAATGGCGTATTTCTTGTATTTTGTTTAGATTTTTAGTTTCCTCCTGTTATAAAGGGTTAAATGTATTATTAGTGGAATGGAAATGGCTTGGATGGAAGAGTAACAAGGCTGAATTGTTAACAAGCGACATGGGATGACAAAATGGCGCCGAATTTGGACAAAGTTGTGGATTTACCTTGTCGATGGTTAAACAGGTATGATCTACTTGAAACCAAGTTGAAACTTGTTTAAAATGTTCTTGATACCATTATGTCTGAGATGATTTACATTTTTTGTAGGATGTCGACAAGATCGCCGATAAACAGCGGAGTAAAGTGGAGAACTTGGCCAAATGCGTCCATTTGCAGGAGGTAGGCACATTTCGAATTATTATTTCGGTCAGAAAATATTAACTATTTTACACCAAACCAGTGATAATATATTTAAATAAGTACCATTTATGTTTCTATCAAAAAGATTTAGGGAAAAAGGTAATGTAAGTCCACTGCTGTTTATCTGAATTTGCAAGCCACAAATTGACCTTTAACTATGATTATTGCATGGCCATTTTCTTGTGAAATATTAGTGCTAGGCATTTCACACTTACCAATGACCACCCCCAAAAGTACCATCTCTGAACCATATAAGCACCTCAGAATAGCCAAAGCTTTTATGGTTTGGTAGATAGCAGTATGGCGAAAGCGTCGTTTTTGGGTGTGGTCAGTTTCGGACGTTTCGCCCCGGATTGGGGTTCGGGCAGCGTTACCATGTTGACCGTCATGGTCAACTTACCCTAAAACAGTTGAGATTATCTGTCCTAAATGAAATGCATACAAACTCATATACAGGTCCTAGACTAAGTGTAGCCAGTGTTTAATTTAACGTTTTAACAATAAAATATTTCATGTATTTACGTTCATTTGTTCTTTAATTTGTTGTTTCTTTGACTATTGATATATAATAAAACACTTATTTACTGAGACCTCGGGAAAGCAGTGTGTTTTGTGGACCCACGACCGTCGATGTTTCCCTCGGTTCGCCTCGGGAAACATCGACGGTCTCGGGTACACAAAACACACTGTTTCCCTCGGTCTCAGTAAATAAGTGATAAATGTCTTTCTCTGTTGAAAATTTTAAACATGATGACAGACTGATCAGGTTTTATTCAGGACTTCAGGATTATTCCACTTTTAAAGCACGGTTTGGCAGCTTTGGAAAAGCAGTAAACCATCTTATTTATTATGGCAGCAATACAAATCCTGACAATCTTACATCCAGTGATGCAATGAAATTTGATCCTAAAAGATCATTCTCACCTGAGCAAGAATTTTTCTTGGTATTGGTTCGCCTTCGTCTACTGGAAGAGGTCCTGGCTATAAGGGCTGGAATTTCTCAGACATACATGTCGAGAATAAATATCAGATGGTTGGATTTTTTGCCCTCTCGGTTGTCGGAGTATCCCTATATGGCCATTAAGATCTTCTATTGACCGAAACATGCCGACAGCATTCAAAGAAATGTACCCATCAACCCGAGTAATTATTGATTGCACTGAAATATTTCCAGAAACACGTATCTGTAAGCTCTTTCAGAAGCCAATGTGCTACATATTCTAAATATAAACACCATTATACTGCAAAAGGACTGGTTGGAATGGATCTTTCCCCTTATAACTAAAATTTTGATCTAGACAAAAATTTCATCACAGCTTGAAAGAGCATCACAAAATTAGTTTTATTCCAAAGTTTTGTTGAAAAATCTTGTAAAATGCGGATAATATAGCCTTGCGAAGTTTGCCGTTTTTCAGTCATTTTGTATTACAAACGGGAAATTGACATCCGATTCGGGTGTTGGGGCTGCAATTTCCCGTTTGTAATGCAAAATGACTGAAAATTGCAAACTTCGCAAGGCTTTATTTTCCTCATTTTACAACATTTCGCAACGAAACTTTGGAATATTACTAATTTTGTGATGCTCTTTCAAGCTGTGATGAAACTTGTCTATACTTGCCTAGATCAAACTTTTTTGGTTATAAGGGGAAAGGTCTATTAGTCCTTCTGGAGCTGTATCATTTGTATCAAAACATTATGCTGGGCGAAGCAGTGACAAACAAATAACATTGAATTGTGGAATTCTAAATTTGTAAGAACTCTGTCATGGCTGATAAAGGCTTTGAGATAGAAGGTGATATGACGCTGGGTGTTTCTCTCAATATCCCTCCATTTCTAAGAGAAAAGCACCATTTGTCATTGATGAAGAAACTGAAACTCGCCGAATTGCCTTTGTTAGGGTTCATGTTGAACGTGCAATTTCACGGATAAAAACTTTTAAAATCTTAAAAACTATATATTCCATAACATTAAGTTCAGATCTAAATAAGATCTGGGTTGTTTGTTCATATTTGACAAACTTTTTTCCACCTTTAATAAATAATCCAGAATAATAGTGTTAATACTTGATGTAATCGATTACAAAAAAGCCCTAATTGAGTGAATTGAAAAATGGATGAATGTATGTATGTAATTGATTTGAACAAGAATTATTGTCGATTTCAACTTAGTTTTCACTAAAATGTTCCGAATTTTGCAAATTCTTTGCAAAGTTCAAAAGCTGATGAAAAGTTACAAATCGGCTTTTAAACTGCGCAATTGATTGGCCGGTTTGATTTAGTTGCCAATCAGCGGCTTTGTTTACAAACCAATTTGTAAATTTCATTATGAACTTTGCAACATATTTGCGAGGTTTGTAACATTGCGTCATTCCAGAAAAGATCCACACTCCCCTCACTAAGGAAATTTCTGCCCTTCGGAGGGTAGAAAACAATTATTTCTGATACCCCCTTCGGATGTCCTAATACACTTACTATCATTAGGGAGGTTAACTTCCAATTTCCTCGGTGGGCGAGGTATGGATGTTTTCTGGAATGACCCATTTTAGTGAAAACCAAGTTCATATCGACAATAAAGCATACATAAAAGACACTAATGAACACAAAGACAGGAATTGTTGGAGTGGTTTTCAGTATCTTCATTCAGTTTAAATGCTGTTTATATGCTAAGCAATTGTCCATAATGTCAGAAAACATTCCCACCTCATCCAAAGAGAAATGGGAGTTGAATCCCCTTCTCTCTTTGAATGTTTGGAAAGGGGAATGACTTGGGACAATGGTGAATTGGAGCAATTGTCCCTGTTTCAGTTCATTCACACTTGTTCCAATTCACCCCATTTTACAGTATCATACATTATTAGTAGTGCTAAAATAGGAAGAACAAATGAGCAATAAAAATCTGTTAGCTCTGGTACCATTTTCTTCTTCCAGAGACTAATGTCTCGATGCAATCTTTGGACATGAATGTCAGTGTTAGTATAAATGACAAAATCAAGCTACGGCAGTCTTAAAAGGTTCATTGTCCCTTGGCACTGGTAGAAATATTCATGTTTGTCCTTCAGCTTGAGGCCAGAGGTAATCTTTTTAAAAAACAAGCATTTATCTCCATTGACAGCATCAAGTACTGTCATGTCCTTCATTGAGTATGGACACTTTATCTCTCATCTCTCGACACATAAAACTAACCGTACCACCTTCCACAACAACGCTATCAGGAATGCAGCCAAGCCATGGCCATCTTGGAATTACCACTAGACCACAGCTTTTCACTTCCAAATTTTTTCAAGTGTTCGTATTTTTCTACAGCATTGGACTCATTCTCAATACCCCATTGTAGAGAAACTGGCTACGAGAACTGTGGCATTTAGTTTTCTCAGTGGTAGTTCTTACAATCGAATTTGATTCAACTGTCTTTCGCCTACTCATCACCTTCCCGAATACAGATGCAGTTATACGAACTGATCCCTCAACATACTATGTGCACTGGAACTTTGGTGTATAGTTTTTAAGCAGATGTCTTTGGCTTGCTCAGGTGTTACAAACACTAAGGTTTCCATTAGTTTCTTTTCATCCAAACCCAACTTAACAATCTGGTCAAACTCACATGGTACGGAGGTAAAAACTTTGTCAACCAATAGCTTGTCAGTATTTGGTTCGACTGTTTCTAGATTCAACATGGACTTTGTTACCTTAGCCTTGGCACAGGATGTTTCAAACATATCACATGGCTCATAATTGTTTGATTCAAGTGTGTCACAAAGTATTCACAAAGTATATCGTCTTTGGTTACAGTCTGAGCATAAGGTGGTGTGCTACAATATTTCTCTCTGATAGCACTTGAATGCACATACTTTTATTGGCCTTGCTGTATTGTGCTTTCTGAAACAAAAGCTTGTCAAACTTAACAGATTTGTTCAATGTTTTTACGGCGGCCACTTTTGAGAGACTTGTGTACACGTAAGGTCTTCAGGAATCATACTTAAACTCAAGTTAACAAATTCCAATAGAGTGTAAAGCAAAGCAGCAACGTGTTTACAACAGCCACCTTGCCCTGCTTTACACGTGCACTTTGCATACTCGACTTTCCCACTCTTCTGGTCTAAATGAACATAAACAGGATAACTTACACTCTTTATAGATGCACTAACTCGAGCTTTAACCAGAAATAGTTGAATTTTACATTGGACGTTTGCCCTGACTTGAACATTATTGACCTAACCTTCTTTCCAAAGACCGTATCCTTTACATGTTCCTATGAGCCTTTGGCGACACTTTGTCAGGCATTTTGCGGCTGTTATTTATCATTTTATTCGTTCTAATTTTTGGTGAGTAAACGGCATCCTGGATTCCAGAGCCTTCGACAGTAAATAATAAATTGAAATGTCGCGAAGGCTCTGGTTAAACTGGGCGATTCTTTGATTAAACCGCGCCAATCACAAAACAGAATTAGTGGTTTTCGTACCGAATCCGTACTAAAACCACTAATTCTGTTTTGTGATTGGCGTGGTTTAATCAGAGAATCGCCCCGTTAATGGTGCATCAATATCGCGCCTTGTGCAATTTGATTCACCGTAAAGATGTATATTTTGCATTCTGCCTACCGGTTATGGGAAGAGTTTAATATTCCAAAGTTCTAGCACCGAGAGTAGCAGAACGACTTGGCTAAAGCCACAATTTCCCGGAGAAACCATTTGCAAATTGAACTTTTTCATTGACTCTCACGTCCATGAACTAAGAAAGCGTGGATTCCGTGTTACTTCACTGTCAAATGAGGAGGAATGAAAGCAATACTAGATGGTGAGTGCCGATAGTTTACATTCATATTACTTGTAATCCCGATCCAGCCATGTTGAACGTTCAAAGAACGTTGAATGTAGTGTAAAGAAACGCTAAATATTAGTGTTTTAAGTCGTGAAAAGTTAAGTTTGTTTTATGGTTTATAAAGTTTATCGAAGTGATAGTGGTTTGAACAAATTTAAGTGTGAAGAAGTGTATTCTGTAACCTAAAATGTTGTACTTATTTAGCTTCAGATTATATATTTTAAGCAGATTTTTTTGTATAATTAAAAAGAAATAACCAAACCGTTGTTATTGTTGTTCAGTATACATGCGATATTTTTGGATAAAACCCTGTCTAGATGGCCTGGCGTCAAGGATAATGATTGGATGTTAGTTTTAGAATATGATGAACATACATTTTTCGCATTCCTTATCCGAACCAAGAATCGCTAACAAATTCACCAGAGGTTTTTCCTTTTTCTTCGCGCGTTTTCTCGCAGTTCGCGTTCGCCAAACCTAAAAAACCTCTGGCCCAGGGTAATTAACAACAGACGATATCGGCCGAACTTCAGTGGACTCATTACGGCATACATCCTTTCCAGAGGTTCCCATTTTTTCTTGAACATCACCTTGACCACCCGTACACGAGTTTTTAGAAGAAGTAGGGTCACCAAGAATGATTTCATTTTCAAAAATAGCACACGAAGTATCGGTATTTCCAAAGGAACTTCAACCCCCCCACAAATCATGACTAATAGAAAAATGAATTCCTTTATCTTCTCTATGTGTAGCGCATGAAACTTGATGTTTATTTATTGGATGTTCGTATACAATTATTAGTGTAAATTAGCCTTTTAAACTTTTTATCGTAATTACTATTACAATAGTCATACAATTGTTAGAGTAAAATACACATACAATTATTGGAGTAAATTAACCTTTTAAACTTTTTACTGTAATCACTATTAAAATAGTAAATTATTCATGTAATATATCAAATTTTCTTGTCCAATTAGCAAATTGTAAAATTACGCAATTCAGCTGTAAAGCTGCGATGTAATTATTTTAATAAATCCAAATCCAATCCAATCCAATCCAACAAGTCCGCCATTTTTCTTGTTTGGAATTTAAGGAATTTGACTACTAAGACCAGAATTCAGCGCGCGCGTTAACGTTTATGAGGTCATTAGGCGTAAGGTCTACTGTTTTAACAAACGAGCAACGTGCAAAATATTTCGTGTTTCTTTTTCCCTGCTCTGAAAGGCCCGATTGGCAGGCAAAGGTAGCGCACAAAGCGGGCTGGTAATTTAATCGCAGCGAGAGGGCGCGCGCTGATCGACGTGTGATGCCGAAAAAATGAGGCAAGTACGATTTTGAAGGAAATTGAAGAAAAATACGATTTTGGGTTGTTCAGTTCGTATGGCAATTTTTCTTAATGTTTTTGGTGTTCGAACAAAATGGTTAAAGTATTTATTTGGCTAAAGGGTCTGTGTGCAGTGATGGTAAAATATCTGTACAAGAGGATTTATGGTCGATAATGTGCGTGTTTTTTTATTCTAAATTTCAAATGAGGATATCTTGTGTAAATCTACTGGCAACATCTCCGAACTAAGGTATGTTAGAGTTCATTATTTTATGCGTACGTATTTGAATGTTTTATAAAAATCGAAGTGGATTCTTAGAAGATATCATGGCTGAAATAAAACTAGCCTGCGAACAGGCTCTCAAGCTGAATTGAGAGCCTGCATCGATGTCTAATGAATTTGAATATCTGCGTCTCAAATCGTGACGCGAAATTTTCACTGGTCAGATGCTATAATTTATATGTTTCCGCTGAGCTCTAGATATGTCAACTGCCGAAGCACTATGCATAAAAAACACATTAACTGATCAAATTGGTTTTGGCCATCTTATCTCAAAGCAGGAAATGTTCTGTTTTGAGAAAACAGTATTTAAAACATTTGAACTTTTGCTTGAAACTGTATAATATTATTTCGAAAAACAGTATAAACTGTACGGTCTAAATTTAGTTTGCACGGTCTAAATTTAGTTTGCACGAAAGTTGTAAACAACACCATATAAGGATAAACGTTCCATATTTGGAAAAACGAACGTTACGGGGCAGATATTCAAATTCATTAGTCATCGATGAGGGCTCTCAATTCAGCTTGAGAGCCTGTGCGCAGGCTAAAATAAGACCCTTTTTCAGGGCCCGGCTTTCTCACTTTTGCCTGTCATATATTTTGAATGATTTAAACAATACGTGTTAAGTATTTTGAATACTTTTAAGTATTTTAACTATAGCTGTTATTTGCTTTAGTTCTATCGATGTATTGCTAAAGTTTCAATTCATATTAAGTTCTGAAGCATGATTAATATGTTTTCAGAGCATGTTTATCACATAGTTCTGTCCGGCACGAAACTAGTTATTTGGGAATATATACTGGGCGCTTTATAGGTAGTTTTTCGAATGTTAGGCGAGAAGTATTATGTTCGATATTCATTGGAATAAAATAGTTTGAGATGGGTTCTTGCCCCTATATAACTTGCAATCTGGGGTACTCTATCGAAGGTCGATGTTTCTTCTATCGCACCAGAGGTGCCTAAATTACTTTCACTTTGTACTCGAATAAAGTAGAAGTAATTAACAATAAAACGACTTGAGTAAGAGCATGGATAATAAAATACATGGATAGGAAACTAGCTGACGTGTCCTAATGTTTTCAATGGGATGATGGCGTTGCAACCTAGTTGCAAAGCAAATTCTCAAAAACGGCATGTTTAGCGATAATACAGCTAAACATTTTAGTCAAAGAGCAAATAAACATGACTAAGCCATTCTGCGATGAAATCTCTAAGTATTCCCGGTCAATTTTAGCGAATATTTCAAGCACTAAACCCTGAAAAATGCATCGCAAATTTCGTAAAAATTGGCGACGCCAATTTCGTAGCTACAAATGTTAAAAAATACAAAACAAAGACGAAAAACACTTACCTTGAATACTTTGTCGTGGCTTAGGCATGTTTTTAAAACAATTAGACCAATTTATGCTTCAATATTACTCTTTTGAAGCGGAAAATATAGCGAAACAACAAAAATGCTGAAAATTTTCGCAATACACATGACGTCACAGATTGCAACT